ACTGTACATGCTCAAACTTTGCCACTTGTTTGTTATGGTAAAACAAAAAGTTTATTTGGATGCCAGCCTTTTTATCTTCAGCACGCACCCTTTGTTAGCATGGATTTCAGCCTTAAAATTTATATCTGTAGTGGCCTATTAATATAGTTATGTTAATAACAGAGACTGAGAGGGTCCACTAAAAAATAAACACTGGCATCCAGGCCAAAGTCTGCCGTGTGTGTTGTTGTATGACATACACTGAATCACCAACACTGGTATCTCATATCACAGTGAAAGGTGTGCTGTATGTTCTGTACATGTTGGGATTGCGCCGCTGGCATAACTAATATAAACTGGTGGATGTCCCAACTACTTAGTACCTAATACCAGCCCAGAAGAGAACAAGAAATAGCCACGCATTCAAGTACCAGAGTTATCAACCAAGGAATGAGGTGTTCAAGAATTCATTCTTTCCTAGAACTATCGCAGAGTGGAACTCACTGTCACCAAGTACAGTAGGGGCATTGTCAATAGATAGCTTTAAACAATGTCTAGAGCTAGAAGTTCAAGGGTTACTGTAGGTGTAACAAGTCGATCGGTGTAATGTAGTCGGCTGCCGCCGCGCCGCGTGCCTGCGAAGCTGGTGTGTTACGCCGAAAGGCGGTTATACCGGCTATACAGATACAGATAATCCTCCGGGATTGCACTAGCGAATGAAGAGATGGGCCTCCCCCCTCTAAGGGAAGCCAGCACGCGTTTGCTCTAGCCTGCTCAATTCCAACGAAAAGGACCGCCATCTTTCTGTCGGCAAGCGCAAAACCCGAAAACCATCGAGATACAGAGACGAAGACTTCACAGACAACCTGGCTGACGATTTCTCCCATGAATCTGACATGTAATCTCACCTGGATGGAGGCTCCGTCCAGAATAATAGACTCCCGTATCCTGGTACCGGGGCCGATGGTCACGTTGGCTCCCACCGTCACATTAGGGCCCAGCTGGGGGAAAAATCAGTTAAATTAAATAAATAAATAATGGTTTTTTTATTGTCCAAACAGTACCCGTGCAGTCGCAGCCTGTAAACGGCTGAATTGATGTAGGGTATCACATAATCAATACAAATCACAATAATTACAACAATCAAATAATACACATGATACACATATTTGTTCCACAATTATTTTTGTGGAACTGTCGCAAGGGTCTGTGCGGCTGCCATTCAGCGCCACAAGGTGACCTCAATACGACTTTCCCCAACCGAAGTTAGGTGCCCATTCACACCTGGGTGGAGTGAGGAAAGTCGTGTTAAGTGCCTTTCCCAAGGGCACAACGTCGGGGCGCATGTTCAGACATGTACCGGGTACGACTCGGAATCGAACCCGGGTCTCCCGGTTCATAGTCGATTGCTCTATCCACTACACCACCCGACGCCACTACGCGACAGTTGGAGCCAAGATGTAACTACACAATCAAACAACATTCTTACATACACACACCCGCAAACACACACACAAACATACACACAAATTAAGACACGCACACACACAGTAAACAATACCCCATACCCAGAGGTAGAAACAAAAAGAGCTTGTACTACTGTGAGTAACACCTTGACTTACCACAGCCGTAGAGTCCACATTCGCAGAAGGGTGGATGTACACATCACCTGCAATGAGATAGAAAATGCAGTTAGCACAAATACAATGCTTACAATGATTATTACAATTATCATGTCTACACATGTTTATCCCTGGAAAAACATGGCAAAGGCCTCAAAGCCTTTTTGAGGCAGTAGGGGCAGTGGGTTGTTATCCACAGTGTCTAGGGCATGGTATTGGAAGGCGGAGCCCATCCCTCTCCTTCCACAATGTGTCATCCTTTTACCTCCCCAACCAAAGTGAGGTAGCTATTTTGCACTTTGGGAAGTTCCCAAGGACAAACATCATGATCTCGTGTCCACTAGCCTAAAGGCCATTTGATACCTGCATAATCTACGGATTCGTGATAGATGTACTGTTACCTCAGTCTCAATCTTGTGTTTGCTAGACTAGCTGGACTCGACCATTTAATTCCCGAGAGAACTAAAAACAAATTTTTCACAGACGGACCGTACCTTTGATGGTCGAACCTGTGACCTCTCAATCTCGTGTTCACAACCCTAAGGTTTACTCTATGCCTGGATGAACATGATCTACAAATGGGCCATACCTTTGATGGTGGGCATGCCCTCTCCTGGCGCCGCCAGTCTGTCGGGGTGAGTCTTGTGGTACAGAGCCAGATACAGCCGGTTGGCATAGATGGCAGAACTGCAAGAAGGACACATCTTTTTAGATAGGAGCAGGCAGTGAAGAATAAAGAATGTTGTTGACAATGGTACAGAATGTGAATAGCAGTCCAAAGGCATAATGTTTACCTTCGGACATGGTCTGCTCTGTTAATTCTTACTGAAACACATTCACAATTTCATGTACATGATTGTACTACTATTATATGGTGACAGGAGCAGAGCAGACCATGAAATTGCAACATTATGTAACCCGACACCAGTCGCCATGGTGACAGACATCAACAAATCATGTCATTGGTTAGGTCATAGGTCACTGTTTGGAGAAGAAGAAGAGGAAGAAACTGAGTAAAAACAATATGTTTCCTTCAGTAAACATAAAAACATTTCCCTACCCCGCAGACTTGATCTGGCTCCAGAAGTTCTGGGTCTTGTGGACGTACAGCTTGCTGTCCCCAGTCAGCATGGGGAAGATGTCCTGCTCCAGCCGTATGCTGTCCTTACTGCTGCCAAGGGCAAAGCTGTCATCACTGGGCAAGAGTCAAGCAACAACCACCACCACTGATTGGACAATTATCCACCGGAATCACCACATGATCATTGTATATTCATTTGCATAATTGGGACCCTTGATTGGCCAATTGTTCGATCAAACTAAGACACTGCGTCCACTATATACAGGGCTCAAAAAACTGTGAGCATTTGTACAGCCAAAAATGGAGCTACTGTAAGCACCAATTTGCCTGGTTACCAAATTTTCTTCTTTTCCTCCTTTCCAAAGAGACTCACCAGCTGAAATAGGTTTGGAATCATGGCTAGCAAGTATTCTACAATTTATTTTGAGCTCTGATATACTGCATGACTGTACAATGTATGTGTGGACAGAATGCACACTATATTACATAAATGTACACAATTCTCTATATACTTACATTGTAGTCTAGTAAGTTCTATACATTGCATCAAGATGGCAGAGGAATATGTTTATATATTGCTACTTCCTCACAGATACTTTACTGCAGATAGAAGAAGAAACCATGTGTGCCCAGTGGCCTCCACCACTCAAAAGCTCCCCCTGGCAGCTAAGGCCAGCACTGCACCCACCTGGGCAGGTCCTCCTGGTGCCTGGCAAAGACTGTCGCGATGTGCTTAAATACCTCGGGCGAGAACAGGTACACGCCGCAGTTGATGATCGAGCTCACGAATGTGCCCGGCTTTTCCACATAATGTAGCACCTGGGTTACACAATGGAAAAGATGGGAGGATTTTTTTTATTTTATTTTATGATGATTTACCACATTTGTGGAAGGATTGACACTGGTGACTATCACCTTTTCAAAGATGTCAAACCTGAGACCAGACTGTAATGTTTGAACCACTCACACCGGGAAGGTCCCCTACTCTTTTCGATAAGTGTGGTGGGTTCTTTAACGTGCGTGGGTTGTGGCTCTCCCAAACACGGGACCTCCATTTAACGTCCTATCCGAGGGACGTCCCTAGCCGAAGCGAGGATATCAGGAAATGGACACTTAAGACTGAAACCTTAACGGGGGCCCTTTTTGATAGAGCGCAATCGCTTCTGTGTAGAGTGTAGAATTCAAAATTCAGTGTGGAGCATTGTCAGGACCCCGCATGCAGACCCTCATTAAGAAGAACAGAAAACTGAGAGGGGTGAAGAAAACTGGTTGTCAGATGGTCTTTGGTTCCCCAACAGTCAGATGATTAGACTAAGGGACAGATGAGTTAAGATGGAGCATTTCATGTAAAGAAATCAAACAACAGTATGACAAGGCAAGAAACTAAATTATGACAAATACAACTTCTCATTAAACGGTATCATTTGTATCTATGTATAATATTTTAAGCTAATATCAAACGTTGAGTACTGGTAACAAGTTTCCCTATAACTAAATTTAGATCTGGGAAGTAGATTCAATGTACATGTATGAATAGTAGACTATTACCTCATGCGTATCTGTGTTCTCCACCAGGCAGCCGTAGTTCAAGGCTTGTTCTCTGCTAGCCTGCAAAATGAAATTATATCAAATATTAAGTTCATTGCAAATATTACTTAATATTCTACAGTAAATAATGTAAATTCCTTCTGGCTCTGCACCAGATACTGAGATTTTTTACCTCCTGTAAGTCTGCCTGTCAATCTTCCCGCACCCATGCCCTGTCAACCTGAGTACTCTGTCTGGACAAACCAATACACAAACCCCACAGCTCACAGAAATAAAATATATATACCAAATCTGCAACATAATGTTGTCATCCTCAGTGGAACAAGGTCCTTGCATTGTCGTGTAAAGGATGAACAAGTACTCTCCAGGCAGAGGCTTACAATACATGTATGCTTCAACTTATTCTTCACAATTGCTTTTAATACTAGTAAGGAATTTCTACCTCTGTCCCCATCATGGTGCAGCAGGCGTGGGCCCTCTGCCGGTGGGACTCTACCATTTCCGTCAGGGGGAAGTCGCTGCACACGTCGGCGTTCATCACAAAGAAGCACTCGGGGTTGCCGCTCTGGATCACGTCCCGGAAATGGTACAGTCCGCCCGCCGTGCCCAGCGACGTGTACTCCTGCAGGTACCTGGGGGGGTGGGTATAACAAAATCAAGTCGAATCAACTTTATTACTCAACAACTGTAGCTGGTACAATGTATGGCAAAGAAACAACAAGGGTACATACACAAACTTATAGTAAAATATAATTCTAATGAGCTTCAAATATAATTTCAACAGTGGAGTCGGTATTCCTGTACGGCTGTGAAGCGTGGACTGTGACTCCCAGACTGGAGAAACAACTGGATGGCTGCTATACAAGAATGCTAAGGTGGGAGTAAAGTACATGGCTCGAAATTAATTAAATGTGGTCCAGTGGCCACAGACCACTAAAATTTAGGCTAGGACAACTAAAAAGACATTTTTGGGACAAGAGAAAAATAATCAACATCAGAATGTCAGCCCTTCTGTTTTTTATCAGGCACACGTCCTGGCTTTTGGATCCGGAAAATCCCCCAAATTTCCTGTCTACACTACAATTATAGTGCGCCTCAAGATCACATTATATCCATGAACCATTTCCAGCTGGCTTCAAATGGAGTTTTGGATATTGTCTGTTACCTCTTCAATACAGATATAGAAACTGTGGTAAAATATAAATTTTGAACTAAAAAAAATATCATTCTTTTTTACACTTTTTTCAATATGGATGGGAAAAAATGATTTTTTTTTCTGGTTTATGGATACCAAGGTTACTCAAGCAACTGGATCATTTTAGGCGATGATGTACAAGTAAACTAAAGCAAACATACCTGATGGAGATATGGAACTCCTGCTGGGCACGAGACAGGAAAGTCTTGAAAGCGTCGCTGGGTTGGTAGAAACCGATCAGTAGGATCTCCTTCAAGCCCTCCACCTGGAAAAGTAAAGTCAAAATATAAAATGAGTTCCAGGAAAAATTCAGTTCAAGGAAAAAGTGAGTTCAAGGAAAAAGTGAGTTCCAAGAAAAAATGACTTCCAGGAAAAAATGGCTTCCAGGAAAAATGAATTCCAGGAAAAAATGAATTCAAGAAAAAAATGAATTCCAGGAAAAAATTACTTCCTGGGGAAAAAATTAGTTCCAGGAAAAAGTGAGTTCCGGGAAAAAAAATTCCAAGAAAAAATGAATTCCAGGAAAAAATTAGTTCAAGGAAAAAGTGAGTTCCTGGGAAAAAACAGGGTCTTACCTTCTGACAGGCCTCAATGTGATGTTGAATGATGGGAAATCCAGCAACAGGAAAGAGCGGCTTGGGAAGGTCCAATGACAGTGGTCGGAAACGAGTCCCTGTTAAAACATGAGAAAAGTATGTTTAACAAAATGTCTATAAACTTGCTCTGAACACGTATGTTTATATATGTTCTGAGCTCAGCTAGAAAATGTTATAGCTAACGGTATACGTTAGGCTTAGGCAAAAATACATGGTATGAAAAAATAAAAAGAAATTTTGAACAAAGAGCACTGAAGCCTCATTGGGAAGGCTTCTAAAGCCATAATCTATCCATTCTCCTAAGCTACTTTACTGAGTCGGAACTAACTTTTGATGATGTTTTCTTGTTTCCTCTACAATAGACATTCCAATGATTTTTTTCTTACAGTAACTGTTGTACTCTCATCTGCCGAATAAACATACCCCCCGGAATAAACGTACCCCCCGGACAAATCTTCAAAATGAAATAAACATACCCCCGGAATAAACATACCCCCCGGAAAATTACCAAAATTGACGGGTAACCTGTGTCTCTTGCACTAAAATGCACCCTTACTAATATATGCACAAATCTTTAACGGTTATTTGCAATTAGGAATTTAAATAGACAAAAAAAAAAGAGCATTTAATATTTTGTATTTTGATAAGCACCACCCATGACAATAGAACATTCAGACGAATTTATGCACGCGGTGATTGCAAAAACCGGCCCGAAAATGACAAGTTTATCGCTACAATACGCGTTTATAAACGTCTTCACGTCGATGATTTGTCAATTTTTTTCACACGAAGTTGAAAAAAATTACTGGTTTTCAAAAAATTAATAAACGTACTGTGCAAAATAAGAACGTACTGGGTGGATATTCGGGCCCAAAAAAATAAACGTACCCGTATGTTTATTCGGCAGATGAGAGTACTTTACTGAGTCGGAACTAACTTTTGATGATGTTTTCTTGTTTCCTCTACAATAGACATTCCAATGATTTTTTTCTTACAGTAACTGTTGTAGTCTGCATGCTCAGAGTGGCATGTGCAGTCTACTGTAACAGTTACTTCTCTAGCCGTAAGGCTGTCCACATTTGTACCACTAAAAATGCACACAGACAGAACTTAAGACCAGTAGCTAGAGCATAATGGGGATCGGGTCAAGGCCTTATAATAAGAGCACACTCAGACAGCATTTTCTGAGGTGCTTAAAATACCCAATATAACCAATCCACAGGTCTTGTTAGTGGCTTACTAGTAGCGAAGTTGGAGTACATTAATACAACATGGATGTCAGCATCAGAGTAGGGAATACATCATTAAGCCATAAACTAACTTAAGACTCAGGAAAACTAAAAAAAGTGCTGGAGAGAATCCAAATACATGAGGAAGAACTTTATTGAATGACAACCGTACATAAAAAAAATAGTACAATGCATGGTAACAACTATTGAACAAAATAGAGGTATAGAATAAAACGTAACATGATCTTAATTACTAAAACAGATTACATCTTTGATATAGTGGTACAATCAAGTGGGGATAATCAAGAGTTTCCTACATAAGTCAAGAGTCAGGGATCTCCCTTGAGAATAGGACAATGCCACCCATTATACTGTAAATCCCAGCGCAATCATACTTTCCAAAAATAGGGTTGTTTCTACTGAATGTTCTTTCTGTGTCTCTTTGAAATGGAATTTGACTTGAGATAAGATAAAAAGCTGGCTAAACTCCCAAGAAACGGTCTCCATTTGTATCTGAAAGTCCCTTCTGGCAGAGTCATCGTCCTTCGGGTTAACACGAGAACCACAGATGTGTCAGTCAGATCATAATCTCACAACAATTACGGCCGGGGGAAGACAAAAGACAGGCCGAGATTAGCACTTTCTACTGTTAATCTTAATGCGTATATTTTGGTCTCAACACCTGGGTTCTAAGACACTGTGACCTGTTTCCTGCATAGAAACGATGTGTTTGTTTGTCCTATAACGTATTTGTGGATACTGTAATCTAGATAGAATAGAAGATGAACTTCATTTTGTAGTAGAATGTAGTTTGTGTAACTGTGAGAGAATTGAACTTTATAGACGAATAACATCGATGTTTCCCCACTTTACACACCTAAGTAATACAGACAAATTCACTTTTTTAATGAACTTAGACAAACCCTCGATGTATGTTCTTATCTTTTCAACATCACAGAGAAGCGAAGAGAAGTCGAAATTATGTAACAAACTGTAGTGCTAGTACTAGATTGATCTTGTTGTGTATATATTTGTGTATTCAAGTTAACCTTTGTACCTAACCCAGTGGGTATGTTTGTGCAATAAAGATCTTCATTCATTCATTCATTCATTCATTCATTCATTAATAGGTAACCATCACCTCTTCATGATGTGAAACTTGAGACTAGACTGGTAAACCGTCCTTAGGTGTAACACAGTGTTAGACCAGACTGTAAACTTTGAACCACTCACACCAGGAAAGGAAGGAGTCCTGAGCACTGTTTTCCATTTATGATTATAAGTGTTATATAATATTTAATGAAAGTTTATTGCAAATTCATGCCTGAGGGCTAATTGCAAGAACGTGATAACAACAAATAAACAGTAAAAATGATAATATTAGTAATGCTAATGCTACTTTAGAAATACATAATTATTGTTGGGTTTGATTTCTTTTCTGTGTGCAGTGGAGTATGAAATGCCCGACATTTTGCGAGATGTATGAATTGAATTTAATAGAGTAATGTGCTTAAGGTGTGCTCTCCTTATTATGTCCCCAGCTGAAGTAAGGTACTTATTTTTGCAAGAGTCAACTGAGGCCTGGAAATAGTACATACCATGTATAGTGCCTTTCCCAAATGCACATCATTGGGGCCTGCCCCAGGGATTCAAACATTTAGAACCTTGAAGTTCCGATATACATGTAAGCCTTATAGTACCTGTTAAACCCTTCCACAATTAATGTGGCATTGACAATGCCACCTTTCTGCCTGTTCTTGTTAATCTTCCCCATCCATGTGCTGTTAATTTAAAACCTACAAACAGACACACACAACCCACACCTCAGCCACCCCCACGGCCACCCCCAAACAATACACTTCCATACCAAGAAGTAACAATGACACAGGCTTGCCTGTTTACATTTAGTAGAACAGGTCTATCTGTAATTACAGCAAGGTGCAGACACAGCCATAAGACAACTTCATGACTGGCAACCACACTTGATAGCAATGAGGAGTAGCAGTATTATATTTATTTATTTATTTATCGGAGTACCGGTATGAATTGATGATATTACTTCATCTTCAATATAACAATAGGGAAAAAGTGTGTACTTGTATTAGTAGTAAGGAGATCAAATGATCAATTTCTGACATAAAATGTAAAATTTGAAAGTTGGAGATGACTCCTGATTTCCATATATTGAAATAAATCTGTTGCATTTTGTGATCAGATGTGATACAAGTTACATAAGTGCTGGTAAATTTCCTTTAGTGGTCATTAGGCAAATTTTAACATTCTAGGGTCTACCTAATATCAAAATGTGGACAACAAACATTGAAAAAAAAAACATGAATGCAAAGTTAATTGCCAATGCAGCAACCATTAATTACCATATTTCAATGCAGAAATAACTATTTTTAAACAATACTTGGGGATTCTGAATTCATTCTATGTTCATTTTATTGCTTACTATCATTTTATCATTTGCAAATGTACTCACAATCAGCCCTCGGGCATGCATTTGCCATTAAGTTTTTTTTTTTTTTTTTTGATAGAAGTTATAACGTTATGTGTGCTTAAGTACATGTATAGGTATTTATATTCATATGTATATATAGCTGCTTGTATACGAGGTACGTGCTGGTGTACTACTACTAGTCTAGCTGACTCAGCTCGAGATGGAACAGTGAAGTAAACAACTTCAGGAGAGATCAATGTTCAAGGCCAGGGGCATTGACCCCGAAGATTCTAATAGCTTTTGATTCGTCTAAACACATCAATGCTACGGAATATTCTATTCCCAGTGCTTTTAAGGCCTTGACTTGTTCACAGCAACGTCGAAAATTGACGCCTGTACTGCCACGTACTCAGAAATATTTATAACGCACGAGTACGCACAGTCGACAACTTGGGGGGGGGGGTAAAATATATTTCTGCAAAAGAACAAAAACAAATGACATAACGCCACAAACCTTTCAGGGGCCCGCCTATTAAAATGATCGCCTTCAGCATGATGATGGCTCTCTTGATCTCCTGCTACTTTTCCTTAAAGGAAAGGATTTTTCCTTCAGAGATTTCTCGAAGAGGTGCAAAACCTTGAGACTACTAGCTGACTACGTTACTTGCTGAGCGAGTAAAGATCAGCTGCTCAGAGGGCAAAGGTCATATTCGTGTAAGTCATGAGCACTCGTTCCCAGAGTAACTTGCGGCTTGCGATCTTGTACAATACAATAAATAACGTTATATTTCCAAGTTATCCATAATCTTGCTTTTGATCTTGGTATCTAGTTCTATGCTTGAATGGGTTAGGGTTAGGATCAGGCAGGGTTCTCCGCGTATTCGAGAACGTCGATTTGCCCCCCAGCAACACGGCTCTGGATACGCACGGACTATCCAGAATCGTGCCTGAGCATGGTTCTGGCCTTGGTCCTGGATGCACAGTAAATACGTATGGATGAACCAACTGAACTGAACCGATGACGGTATGGCCCCGAAAAAATTGAATTTTTATCATTCAGTCTATCTGGCCAATATCTAACTATTTTTCCATAAACCGATTTGGAGTCTTATGAGAGTAAACGATACAATATTAGTATCTGTCTGTCTGTCAGGCTCCATTTGGATCAGTGAACAAGAACTCAGAGCGTGAATTATTTCCTAAAAATTAACAATTAAATTCTCGCTATCATCGCTTTTATTACTAATTCATACAGTGTAATCAAATAACATATCTTAATTGTTTAATGCTGTTCCTGTACATCGGACATTACCCAGTTGGTATTTTTGTCTTGTGTTTATGTTGCCAGTAATTGTTATTTTATGTCCAGTTTTGACGTTGATTTCGCTTGAATGCGTCATCAATATGTATTGTTTTCTTTGAACGCTAAAAAAAAAAGAATATTTCCTAGAAAACATAGCCCTCAAGAGGAGTAATTATGGCCAAATCATCCCTTGAGTGCGTCACCGCGATGTGTATTCTTTCGTTTGAATTTGAACACAAAATTATTTCCTAGAAAACATAGCCCTCAAGAGGAGTAATTATGGCCAGTCAGATATATCATTCTGACAGTCCTCTATCCGGCCAGGTCCGTAGACAATCGGCCGCACTGTTTGACCAACTTCTGCTAGCCTCCATAGCCGGCTTTAATATAGAACTGGGGGTTTGGTGGTCTTCACGATCGGTTCTGATTAGCCCAGTTCTAAACGGGGGTAATTAAACCAGGCCGGCTATGTTGTCTATGTTGTTCGTCCGTCAGGTCATGCAATCAGACAATAGCACATAAAAGCTCCCAAAGACAATGATGACCCACCAAACCCCCAGTTTTTGGCATGCTATGGAGGCTAAATTTCTGCTCGCTTGATCGGCCCCCACTAGAGTCAGACGGAACTAGGAGTCCGATGATCTGATGAAGCTTTGGGGTATTTTTCCTTTGCTGGCATTTCGTAGTACATTTTTCTGAGTTTCCTAAATAGTATCATCATGTTGTTGTTCGGAAGATATAAGTTGGGATCAGTTTACTTTTTTTAAAACAGGTCAAACTATCCGTTGCGAAAAGCTGAGGTTCATTCCTTAAGTCAGCCGGATATCATTGCCAAGAAGGGTCAACTTTGAAACAGCCCGATTATGATATAAACTGCTGCAATCATTTCGAAAGGCTTGTTCCTTCCTGGTCTACGTTCAAGAGGTCTGTCAAGAAGTCACACGGTCACCCTGCCGAATCGTGAAATTGGGTCTTTCTGTATCACAAAACTTATTAGAACATGTAAGCAGCATTCGCTACTTTGAACCTCCACATTACTTCATTAGATTCCCGATAGGATCCATCGTAAGTTCGGCTTCTATAATATCCAAAACCGTGCCTATCAAATTCTATGTCTAAATGGGTTAAGTTAGGATCAGGCACGGTTCTGGACAGTCTCCACGTATCCAAGGGCATAGATTTGCCCCAGGCACGGTTCTGGACACTTGCCAGGTGGACTATCAGGAACCGTGCATGAGCTTGGTTCTCGATAAAGCACCGTGATCCTGAATACAACAACCCAATTTGCCTTTTCATCGGGGCTACTTGAAGTTGCCCAGATGAAGATGCCTATCATTCACCAACCTTACGGAATTATTCATAGCAGTGAACTAATATTCTATTATGTAAAGACAAAGCATAACTGTCACAAACATGAAATGTAAGCTGTGGCGCACGCCGTGACATACCTTCATTGTACCGTCACCATGACTGTGTCCTTTAGAAGTAGAACATAAGTTTTAGTCAGCCGTTGCACTTGTAGCTACTTCAAAAAGCTTCAACCTTCGCCTAGTAGTGGAAAAGGTTAGACATACGTGTACCGGCTGCTACTGACATCTAGAGGCCGTGTTTCTATAGGCGCGAACCTAATAGATACTAATTATTTTCAAGTTCGTGCCCTATTAGTAGGGCTAAGTGCAACATAAAGTAATGCCTAGAGAGAGTATACAGACAGTGTAAGCTAACATTGGTGACAGGTGAAACAAGTGACTATTGTAAGAATTGCTACGGAATACAATCTGAGGTTTCTTTGGGGGATGACTTGTTGTAGTTTTTGTTTGTTTTTTTTTTGTTTGTTTTTTTTTTGAAGAAGTAGAAGACAAAATATCTCACTTTTTCTGCAATTGCCTAGCACCGTGCAGTAAGATGCGTGAACTGGTACAAGAGATTTGTATTGTAGTTCTCCTGCTTCTCACTTGTGATAACAATCTTGAAAAATAATGTATAACATATATCTATTTCTTTACTTGTCCCCTTCTGTGGCATATTACATTAATAAGGCATATAGTAATAATGACAGGAACAACAGAGCAAATTATAAAATCTTACTGCACACCAACACTCAGAAAACAACCAAAACCATTTCACATCTATCAACAGATAAATAACGATAAATATAGAAGCCAAATAAACTAAACTAAATATTAACTTAAACTAGAAACCTTTGCCATGGCGATAATGTTTCCCGGTAGTCCTTTTATGCGCTATTTTTTCAGTTATTAAAATCATTCGCCATGTTCGGCCGTAAATGTCTCGCGTTTCCCGGTAACTCCGGTTACGGCACTTGATGTTGTTTTCTCCGGATGTACATCTATATATGCGGCTACACTTTAGTCTGAAAAGGGTCTGATCTTCCTTGGTTTTATTTGTATTATATTCTCCTGTATGCAGCTTTCTCTCATTTAACAGGGTTGTTTATCAAAATACACGCTACTCTTACATAACGTGTTCAACATGAACGAAAGTCGACTCTAGTACAAATGTCAACCTTATCGGGTTTCGAAGCGCAGCTGCTATTTAGACACTGATTCAAAATTGGCCAGACAAGCACAACGGCTGAAGCAGGTTTTCATTCAATTAATGTCAATGATTCATGCAAAAGTGCCAATTACGGGTACATATATTTTATTCTTCTTTTTTTTATTCATTGGGTTGGCTGTTCAACCCTCAAAGCCTATCAAAACATATCATTTCTAATTAACGTTATTTACCAATTACTTTTGTTATTTATTGTTAGTATTTGATTTGTTACCGTTATAATATTGATCACATTTTTTCAATTACTTATTGTTATTTATTATTACCATTTGATTTGTTACCATTTTGATTACAGTTGTCAATTAATTTAGTCGGGGGAAGATCACGGACAAGACATTATGGTTTCTTATCTTTCCCCTGCATATCCTATTTTACTGTAATATGTTCATTTTATTGTTCTTCTCTCTGATTATATGCAAATAAATAAACAAACAAACAAACAAAACAAAGCGAGCGTCGCCCAACTCGTAGCCAGTGACTATTCCAAAGGGCTTGTCCTGCTGACAAGACAACAGAAAACATTGCAGCAACATATAAGGTGGCTTAACAATCTATTTATTACATTCTTCTATGTAGTTAAAAACTTTGTACATATCAAGGATAGGAGTGGTAACTTAACCGGTATTCATTTCGTTGAGACTAAGTTGTGGATTAGGAGTAAACTTCTTCTTCTTCCTTGTGATGCCCACGTTCAAATCCGTACGTGTTGAACATTCTGGCGTGTTGAGGAGGTCAGAGGTTTGCTCCATGTGTGTCTTAATCATTGTCCATTTCAAAGTATCTGTAGTTGTTTTTTTTTATTTCAACACAAGTTTTTTCAATTTATATTATTGCCGCCACCAACACAGGGGACAAATACATGACAGGACAATACTCATTTTCACCTGAGCGAAGTGAGGAAAGTGGTGTAAAGTGCCTTTCTCTAGGGCACAAGATCGGTGGCATGTCAGGACTCGAACCCGGGACCTCTTGGTTCCGAGTCGCGCACTCTGCCTCTACGCCACACGACCCCACAACTACATCTGTAGTTGGTTGCTCTTGATGTTGAATATTGTGTGTTAAGGCATAAAATGGTTTGGTGGATACCATCCTCTACAGGTCACTGGCTAGTCTAATTTCTCAGGTTTTGTTGTTATAGTCGTTGTTTTTTTTTTTTAGTTGTTCTTTCCAATTTCCATAAGTTTTGTATAACCAGTAACGTTCTACGTGGTTCACGAGACACCGTATCAAGTAGGTCATATCTATTAGATCGGCCTTTAGTAACCACCTATTAGCAACAGGTTGCAAATTTCAATGTCATTCATTGTTCGCTATGTCGAGTAGTCTGCGTTTCAAATTAAAAAAAAAAAGATTGTATTCGTATTTCGTATTTAATGAAGGTTAACGATGTACAAAGACATGGAAGTCACTCAAAACGTCCGGAAATAATATCCGTAATTTATCCAGTAGCAAAGTTTAAATCGTCTTTGAATAGGCATTGTCCGGACGAAACAAGTTCCAAAGTTGATTTTTCAAGATTCAAGATTCAAGATGCAAGATGGATTTATTGGTTCTTCTCAGTTAAAAACAACTGAATTGTAAACCAATTTACAAAACATTGGTATATTAAAACTACAGGTTTGCAATCAATATAGGCGTACAATTAACAAACCAATAAAAATACATGTTTCATACATTATAAATTTCCCGGACAACATTTGATGCAGAACACTGTACTACATTTAAAAAGACACCAGTCAGGTTTTTTTCCACTTGTAGTTTCCTAGTTCCATTAAGTTTGTGAATGACTCATGTTCACTTCCCTCTACATGCAGCCAAGA